GTGGTCCGCCCGGAGAGCGGGAGGTCCGGAGTTCAATCCCCGGCCGCGTCATACCAAAAGACTTGTTGTTACCCTGTCTGGAGCTCGGCATTAAGGGGGTAAAACAAGGACTGGTCGGCTCGGAGTCAGTATACTGTGTCTGAGTTGGGTATTCATGTTAAACTGCTGCATGGTATCTCAGTGTGCTAGCACTATAAATCGGCATCAGTCCGGAGTATTACAAGCAGACACACACAAACACGTGCATGCACTTCGCTATATAAGTGCAATTATCTTGGACGCGACGTTAAACCCCACTTCACCTCACCTCGGTGTAGGGGTCGTCTCATAACTTATCTTTCGCTATTTCATCGGAGGTTATTTGCACATGTTGACCACGCTGTTTGATGTGTGTATCTAAGTACAGTTAGAATTAACGGAACTATTTCCGATTTTCACACATAAGTGAATGATTCTATTTTCCCCGACAACCTGTGTCGCCAGCGGTGACGGAACCGCATCCAACAGACTGAGGACGTGTAGTACTCGACCTCGACTTCGGACACATATATTTTCTCATTCGTCAAGACTCGTCCCCCTATCGATGAATGTTGTGTGCGAAAATAGACAAACCAATCAGAATGCGCGTATGACTTCAAGTTCTTCGGTCAAATAATCCCTCGGGAATAATTTTGGATTTTACACATGTCTTGCATCTAAAAATATACCCAAGATATGTGATCAGTTATACAATAATCCGGTTTCGTGAAGGTCCTGTCGGCAACCACCAGACCGAAGCAATGGAGCAGCATTATCCGAGTTGATGGGAGTAGTGATATCGTCGAGTGCTTTCATACATCCATTAAACACCACGGGAAGGCTTTCAGAAATTCTGCAATTGATGTAAGAAGTTAAAACCTAAAGGCTTCTCAAAATATTTCATGACATACCGCGAGATTTATATGCTACCCGTAGGGAAAGGATGGGTTGTGTACTATCTACATCACTCGACGTGATAGGAAAACCTGTCCCCTGACGAGACGGCAGCCGAGGTACCCCGGGCACGAGGGTGGTGACCGACACTGTTTTACACTGAGGTTCACAGAGCGTCACGACTTTCGTCTAAAGTTTTGTTTATTTGGTTTGTTTGGAGCGATACTCCAGCTACGTGACGACCGTCTGTATGTTATCGCGTCTGGACCAGACAATCCAGTGACTGACATCATGAGCATCGATCCACGCCATTTAGACGCGATGCACGGGTCACCAGACCAGCAGATCTATTCAGTCGCCTCTAGCGACAAGCACATGCTGCAGGGGAGCAGTCCGAGACAGGAAGTACTGGGAGGGTCTGACGTGTGTTGTTGCAGTGTTGCTCCTCGGTTGGCATAAACATGTTTCTTTTTGGCACGGGAGAACACGCATATAATAGGACTTCCAGTATGTTGTTCCATTTTGTAACTGTATTTGGTCGGGATAAAAGTTACTACAAGATAATACGCGATCACCATATAAGTATGCGTAGTGTGTGCGTACTTACGAAAATAGAAGTCTTTTTTCTTGAGCAGTATTAAAATATTTACGTATAGTTCCTTTCAGTATCACACACACGCACACACACACACGGACGCACACACGCACACGCACGCACGCACGCACGCACGCACACGCACACACACGCACGCACGCACGCAGACAGACACGCCCACAGACACCGACAGATACACACAAAGACACACATACACACACCGACAGACACAGACACACAGACACACACACACGCACGCACGCACGCACGCACGCACGCACGCACGGACGCACACACGCACGCACGCACGCAGACGCACGCAGATAGACACGCCCACAGACACCGACAGATACACACAAAGACACACATACACACACCGACACACACAGACATACACGCACACAGACACTGATAGAAACACACAGACACCAGTAGATACACACACATACATATACACACACCGACAGACACAGACAAACAAGCACACAGACATCGATAGATACAGACATCGATAGATACGTACACAGACATCGATAGATACACACACAGACACCGATAGATACACACACAGACATCGATAGATACACACACAGACATCGATAGATACACACACAGACATCGATAGATACGCACACAGACATCGATAGATACACACACAGACACCGATAGATACACACACAGACACCGATAGATACACACACAGACATCGATAGATACGCACACAGACACCAATAGATACACACACAGACACCAGTAGATACACACACAGACACCGATAGATACGCACACAGACACCAATAGATACGCACACAGACACCAGTAGATACACACACAGACACCGATAGATACACACACAGACACCGATAGATACACACACAGACACCAATAGATACACACACAGACACCGATAGATACGCACACAGACATCGATAGATACGCACACAGACACCAATAGATACACACACAGACACCAATAGATACACACACAGACACCAATAGATACACACACAGACATCGATAGATACGCACACAGACACCAATAGATACACACACAGACACCGATAGATACGCACACAGACACCAATAGATACACACACAGACATCGATAGATACGCACACAGACATCGATAGATACGCACACAGACACCAATAGATACACACACAGACACCAATAGATACACACACAGACACCAATAGATACACACACAGACATCGATAGATACGCACACAGACACCAATAGATACACACACAGACACCGATAGATACGCACACAGACACCAATAGATACACACACAGACATCGATAGATACGCACACAGACACCAATAGATACGCACACAGACACCAGTAGATACACACACAGACACCGATAGATACGCACACAGACATCGATAGATACACACACAGACACCGATAGATACACACACAGACATCGATAGATACGCACACAGACACCAATAGATACACACACAGACATCGATAGATACACACACAGACATCGATGGATACGCACACAGACACCGATAGATACACACACAGACACCGATAGATACGCACACAGACATCGATAGATACGCACACAGACACCAATAGATACACACACAGACATCGATAGATACGCACACAGACACCAATAGATACACACACAGACATCGATAGATACACACACAGACACCAATAGATACACACACAGACACCAATAGATACACACACAGACACCGATAGATACGCACACAGACACCAATAGATACACACACAGACACCAGTAGATACACACACAGACACCGATAGATACACACACAGACACCAATAGATACACACACAGACACCAATAGATACACACACAGACATCGATAGATACGCACACAGACACCAGTAGATACGCACACAGACACCGATAGATACGCACACAGACATCGATAGATACGTACACAGACACCGATAGATACACACACAGACACCGATAGATACGCACACAGACATCGATAGATACACACACAGACATCGATAGATACGCACACAGACATCGATAGATACACACACAGACACCGATAGATACACACACAGACATCGATAGATACACACACAGACATCGATAGATACGCACTCAGACATCGATAGATACACACACAGACATCGATAGATACGCACACAGACATCGATAGATACGCACACAGACACCGATAGATACGCACACAGACATCGATAGATACGCACACAGACACCGATAGATACACACACAGACATCGATAGATACGCACTCAGACATCGATAGATAAACACACAGACATCGATAGATACACACACAGACACCGATTGATACGCACATAGACACCAGTAGATACACACACAGACATCGATAGATACGCACACAGACACCGATAGATACGCACACAGACACCAATAGATACGCACACAGACACCGATAGATACGCACATAGACACCAGTAGATACACACACAGACATCGATAGATACACACACAGACAGACACATCCATATACACAGACAGACAGGCACACAGACATCGATAGATACGCACATAGACACCAGTAGATACACACACAGACATCGATAGATACACTCACAGACACCGATAGATACGCACACACATATCGATAGATACACTTACAGACACCAATAGATACGCACACAGACATCGATAGATACACACACAGACAGACACACACATATACACAGACAGACAGGCACACAGACATCGATAGATACGCGCACATACACACATATACACACACATACACATACACACATGTACACACACATACACACACATACAAGGACGCTGTATTGTCTACATATAACCTGTCCTGACGTAATATTCTAGTACTCTGTACACGCGAGGCTGTGTGAGAGTCGTTGATAACGCATTGCAACTGTGAGGTCATCGCCAATGTCGTCGGCTGGAGAGCGCGTGACGTCATTATAACACGTTTTGTTAATATTATCTTATCTTTCTTATCTTAACAAGCATTTATAATCAATGAATACGTACAGAAAACAATCAACAAAATCACAAGTCTAGGTAGCCGAGCAAGACGGCGGGAGATATGAGCAAACACCATCAACTAGAAGCACATCGGCACGCATGCGCCTGATAGACACAACAGCCAGACGTGCAGGGTTGTTTATCATGGCTAAGATCCGGACCATGAAGGTCAGGTTCTGTGTTCTGTGTAAACTATGTAGGTCATATCCGAGCGTCTCCGCATCGCATTCACGAGTGTATGTCAATACATATCCCTCACAATGTATAGTAGATGGAATATACGGAACAGCTGTATCAAAGAGCTTTTGTATTTTGTACAAAGAATCCAACGTGCTAGGACATAAGAAAGTGAGTGGCTACCCACTGCTCACACTGTATGTATTTATCATGCTCCTTCTCGGTACGTGCTTATATATCACCATGGAATAGAGGTGTGAGTGAATGCTGTTTTACGCCACAGTTCATGTTCCAGTTGTACGTCACTGGC